AGGGGTCAAAATTTAACTAGCGAATAAAATTTCAGGGTTTTAGGCAGAGACGTTAGAAGTATAGAGTTGAATTAGACTTTACAAGGAACAGGAAACCCAATACAATACAGAAAACAAGGGATTAACCTCTATTAACTGTTCAAAAGACCGGGGAGGAGTGTGAACCGGACGATAGGGAAACCGATATACTCCTTATGCTCATATCTATCTATCTATCTATCTATCTATCTATCTATCTATCTATCGGATTGGAGGGGGAGCATCCAAGCGTGCGGTACCTATGGAAAGTGCCTGAAAACCATACCACGGGTTGACCCAAGCCTTGTGAATGAAATTGAGCAGACGGAACACTTGGTAGGGGTGGGGGCGATATTTGTGCTATCACGATGTCATCTCCTAGACTTGCTGTCACTCAAGGCAAGAATGTCTTGTATATCCTGCTATTTAAACCACAGCTAGAGTAAAAGGCATTCATGCCTTTTTAATGGGCTTTAGAGCGAAATGAAAGCAAAATAAAGGAAATCTAACGCCGTTTGAACTCTGCTAGCAGACTACTTTCTACCTATATCGCTTTTTTGCAGGGAAAACCGTTACGATGTGTATATATATATATATATATATATATATATATATATATATATATATATATATATATATATATATATATATATATATATATATATATATATATATATATATATATAGAGAGAGAGAGAGAGAGATGAAATGGACAAAGTCCGACAATTATTTTAAGACATTTTTATGTTTAACATCGTATTTTCATGAGCAGACATGAATGTACGTGAGAGATTCATGGAAGATTGAAGTTTAAATACAGTAAATTCGACATTGCTAACCCAACACTCCTTCGTAGCAAAATCGGTAAAGGCACGTCAGCTAAATGACGGTTCCGTATAGGATACAGGTTCGAATCCTGTCGGAAGACGAATATTTTCTGTGAAAATTTTTTCGGACATTCAGGCCGGTAAATGTTGTTTAATACTGTTTTTTTGTAAACAGAGCATTTACTTAAATATTTGTATCTATAAAAACAATGTTAAACATAAAAATGTCTGATAACATATATATATATATATATATATATATATATATATATATATATATATATATATATTGGCTTTAAATATATAAATATATATATTATTACTATTTGACTGATATATGTATTTGACTGATATATGTTCGCACAATACAATAACCTGTTCAGCTTCTGGTGGTGCCATGGGTGGCAGTACTGCCTTAGCCACAGAAGCTATGTTACCTCACCCTGATTGGCGGCTGACGATTACAGGGTGTCGCACGTGCTTTCATACGTTTTATGTAGAGAAAAACATTTTACCGAAAGTTAAACTCATCCGAGTTACATGTTAGATATTAGATAATTTTTAGTGCAAGCATCTTGGCATAATTTCGGCTCTATTTAATAGAGAACGCGTGTATGAAAACAGGAAAGTTGTTAACTTCTTGTCCTGGCAAAATTTCGCCTCCACCCTGTCTTCTTCTTCTTCTTCTTCTTCTTCTCCTTCTCCTCCTCCTCCTCCTCCTTCTTCTTCTTCTTCTTCTTCTTCTTCTTCTTCTTCTTCTTCTTCTTCTTCGATATATTAATAATTTGAAATATTTTCCATAGTTCTTATACGTCCTTCCGATCTAATGTCATCCTGGCGGTCGAAATAATGTGAGTCATCGTGAAGAGGCCTTCTACTTCGGCTCTGTAAACAACGCTATCAGTCAAACATTGCCCATTTCGGGGGTTGTTAAGATTTGTGCTTCAACCATTGAGGCTCATTGCAAACCGTCTCGGGTGAATCGATAAAATCTCTCGAAACTTTTACATACATAGGAAGCAAAATTCTAATAAAAATGATATGAAAATTCGCATAGCTAGAGCATCCAACTAAATCAAGGCTCTATGGACCCACCCCTCATATTTCTACAATCTAACGCGAATACAGACCTACCTTGAATAAAATAAAATTAACTGTAAATCTGATGTAGAAAACAACCTCAAACGTAGATTTTCTCGCGCCACTGTAGAGTCGGTTTTAATGTATGGTGCCGTTGCTTGGACATTAACTAAAACCATTAAGTTCAAGCTTGATGGAAACTAGACTCGGATGCTGGGAGTTATATTAACATTTGTCTCTTAGAGACAACATCCAACTAAATCACCTCTCTATGGGCCCACTCCTCATATTTCTACAATATTAAACGAATGCAGAATTCGCTTTCTAGGAAACTACTATCTAAAAAAACAAAAAACAAACAAACCCAAAAAATTAGAATTTACGAGTTAGTTTATGTTCTGTGTAGTAAGCCATGGCTATGTATAGATTCGAATCCAAGTGGAGAGCACATTTTCTCTAAATAAGACTGGCAGAGGAATAAATCTCTATCTATAAAAGGCAGGATGTGAGTGTGTGTGTGTGTGTGTGTGTGTGTGTGTGTGTGTGTGTGTGTGTGTGTGTAACGAATGCACGGCCGCAATTTTCGATGGATTTGCACCAAAATTTACATACACATGCTCCTAGTTAGTGGGAAGGCCAAGGCCGACTTTGCATTTCCCAACTCCTATCGATAGTGGAAATAATCGATTTTTTCATGCTTCTACGGCAGTTTTCATGTAGTTTGCGTTCATTTTCTGCTGGCCAGAGTGAGAGCCTATAGCTGGCTGCCACGAATGGGCAGCAAGATTCTATTGGACAGCGTGAGAACATACAGCTGACTGATACGAATGTTAACTAGCATGCAAAAAAATCGCTAGCTGCATTCGTCACAAGTGGGAAAAAATTAAATCTGCATGACACTTCACTCCAATTGGCTCATTCGCTTGCTTAAACTCAACATTGATTCTGATTCCGCAGAACTGGGTTGGGTATGAAAAAATATTTGTTGTTAACATTCTTTTTTCATTCGGTTTTTCCAGTTACGAGTCCTTTTTTTTTTTTAAAGCTGATCGTTTTGTGTTCATTTTGTTTAGTTCTTTTTTCGTAATAGATTTAATGTTTAGTATAGAGCTTAGAAAAAATTCGCAGTGTGAGATAGGCAAGAAGTAAGGCATGTAGCAACATCAGCACGGCAAAGGGCACTCTTTTAAAGGCAAGGAAGGGCAAAAATATTTTAAGTCAAGTGATAGCGAATGCTGCATGAGTCGTACGATTTTTGAATCAAGCACGGGCAACGCCGAGCCATGCTGTTAGTACTATAAAAAAATAAGTAATAAGTAAAACGGGTATCCACTAAAATTAATGTTTGAAATAACAAAAATATGTCGGAATAAAAAAAATATAATCCCTTAATTCTATAAAAATTACTCCATGTTTCGTCTTTGAGCCACTTATTTCCCAGACTTATGAATTACGTCACAAACACTTTTCATCTACATATCTTGCCTTCGAAGCGCCTTGTGAGTGTCAAACTCTCCAAGCCTTATTCTGTGGACGGAAGATTTCAACACATTTTTTTAAAAATTGTTCTCAACGATTTAGTAATATATTCATAATATTCTCTTTTTTTATTCTCAACATTTGTCCGTAGATCAAAATATCGGCAGCTCCTTTCTTTTTCTTTACTTGAAAAGAAACTGTCCAATATTCACTGCTATATATGAGCACAGATATAACAAATTAATCCTTTTTCGTTCCTAATGTTATATTTTGATCACATATTTGCCTTGCGCAATTTTTGGAAACCATCTTTCGCTGTCAGTAAATTGTACATTATAATAATCTATTAAGAAAGCGTGATATTTTGTTTTTAATTTTACAAAATCATGTCGATCGGTTAGGGCAGTTGTGTATTAACAACAAGTCATGGCTTCACTGCATCTTCTGCATGTCTTCAGTTTGCACACGTAGTTTAGGACACACCTACGCTGCATACACCCACCCTACGTTCCCATTTTCCGCGCTTCACTTTTTCCGCCGAACGCCTTTTGAGGGCATAAACGTTCGTAAATCGTGCGGCGTGTATTTGCGTTCGTCTTGTAATTCGACGTCGAGGGTTGGTGAGGAATCACGCATTTCCCTGTGTCTGCCGGTTTAAGTTGCCTTCGAAATTCACATGGATGAAACAAAAAATATAAAATACAAAGAAAAACATGTTTAAGAATTGAAGATAAAAATGAAAAAAAATAAAGAAAGAACAGAACAAACCAAAAAGAAAATGGCGTCTACTGTAATCAATTCTTTCTCACGCCAAGCGTGTTTGGCGGGAAAGGCAATTCATAAGTAAATTTGATTGGCTGAAATTAATTTTTTTTCTTCTTTCTCGGGAATTAATTAGTTTATGAAATTAAATCTATTTGCCGAGAATCATTCCGTTCAAATATCGCTTCAGAGTTCTAAAATGATGCTAGCTCATAGCTACTTCATATGATGAGATTAATTTTTTTTCAACTTTTCGATCATGTAATTACTTTGGTCACAATGTTTTAAACGATAGGTTTATTAGCTTTTCTTATCATTGTCCGAAGTTACTAAAATATAAGTAGAGTATTCAGAATAACAGAAAGAAACTTCGCTGGAAAGAAAGAAAAGAGTAACATGATGTCTGTTCTTCTAGATGTCAGTGACAATCACCTCATAGATGAAGAGATTTGATGCAACTGAAATCTGGCTTTACAGAAGGATGCTGAGGATACCATGGACCAAATATGTAAGCAACAATGAAGTTTTAGAGAAAATGAAAACAAAAACGAAAGTTATACTTAACATCAGGAAGTTGAAGTTTGTAGGGAAAGACGACTTGGAAAATCTGATACTCATAAGACAGATTGAAAACAAGAGGGACAGAGGAAAATAACGCATAAAAGATTTAGTAAATGGATGGTGAAACAAGGCTTAAGAGAAATAACAAAAAGAAAATTTATTAAAAGATACAAAGGACAGGAAATTGTGGAGAGCCATAATCGCAGAATAACACAAAAAGAAGAATTCCTTCTTTTCGTGCTACAAGTAACTTTCAACACTTTTTGAACTTGT